GCTTCTTCCATCCGTTAGAGCAGCGGTTCTCAACCTGTGGGTCATGACCCCTTCGGGGGTCGACCGACCCTTTCACGGGGGTCACCTAAGACCATCAGAAAACACATATATAATTACATATTGTTTTTGTGATTCATCACTATGCTTTAATTATGTTCAATTTGTAACAATGAAAATATATCCTGCATATCAGATATTTACATGACGATTCATAACAGTAGCAAAATTACAGTTATGAAGTGGCCACGAAAATAATTTGATGGTTGGGGGTCACCACAACATGAGGAAGTGTATCAAAGGGTCACGGCATTAGGAAGGTTGAGAACCACTGAGTCAGAGGAAGGTACAGTTGGGGGGGGGGCCTCAGGATCCAGTGACCCCTCTAGGGAAGAGCCACACAAAGACTTTCAGGAAGAAATATCGCCTCCTTGTGGTCTTTTAGGGTACTGCCACTTAATAATGTAGATAGGTATTCTCAACCATAGGCACAAAGAAGGATTCCAAGGCTTACTCTATACCTGCCCTACAAACCAGACGAATGGGTAAGAGCCAAAGAGTTTCTTCCCTCTGTGCAAAGGTACATGAAAAATTTACCCACCACCAGTTTTTCCTCAACTGGCAACATAAAACACAGCCTCTGCTCACGTGAGCGGCAGCGGCAGCAATGACCATGACTGGTGAGGAGGCGTATGCAATTCCTGCATCTCTACAGTTCACAAAGGAAATGCAAAGGAAGTCGTAAATGTACGTTAAACTCAAATATTGAAGTCTCTAAATTTGTCACAACCAGTTAAATATACAGCAGATGCTAGGGCTTCTGCTATTGGCCTGAAGGGCCTTCACTTCGATGACAGTGACAAAGACGACTCACTTAAGATTTGGGAGTCACAGAATCCACCCCTGACATAGTGTTTGCACAGAGCTGACGCGAGAGGCTTGGGAGATAATATGATCTTACATGGAAACAATTCACGGGGTTCTGGGATCAACCAAGTAGAATAGGAAATTAAAAAATTAGCAACCCTCATGCTGCCAGATCACGAAGGTCCTGATGTTGAACTGGAGCCCAAAGTCCCAGCCCAGGGACAGATGACAGGCTCTTATGAGATGTCTATGACAATTGCTTGGCACAACATTCATTTCCCAAGCTTTCAATTAACATAAAGGGACATATATTTAGAATGACAAACAGGTTAGGAATGGGAAGCGGAAATGCCACAGTTCCTGATATTCCCTGAAATAGACCGTGCACACATTCTCCCTGTGAGGAAAAAAGTACCTGCAGAAAGTACACAGATGTGCTCATCGGTCTGTCATCAGCCCCCAAGGACTAAAACATGCGGTTCAAAAAAGGGCATCTTTGAAAATTTTACACTGAAGCAAACGGCCAATCCATTGAAATCAAGGTGAAACTTCTGACCAAACGGCTTAGAAACCACTAGAATGTCCGAGGAAATTAGATATGTTTTTAAGCATTCATACTTTAATTTCAGAGACTAGCAATCAAATGCAAGGGACTTAGAGCATTCATTTGAGAGGCTGTATTAACAGCGTAACAGACTTGGTAACGTCAAGGGCCAGAGCCAAGGTGAAACGCACAGAAGAAAAGACTTCCAAACCTAACATTCTGACCAAAGGGGCAAGATTACTTTTTCAACTCTCTGATTACTCATTATTTCAACAAATATCCACAGCCCATTGTGACCGAGGCTGCTCCCAGCACGTGGGAAGCAACCAGATGTGTGCCTACCGGCCTGCAGCTTCCAGCAGGTGGAGAAACCCCACTATCCAAGGTCTCTCTTCCAGTCCTGGGAACATTCCTTGACATATGCAAACACACAGGGCACCGTTCCCAGCGCCTGCTCTCGCCTGCCTGCCACTCTCCCCCTTCACCATAACCTCCAGCCACACGGGCTGCCTCGTGGCATCTGAGCCTCAGCCCCACTCCAGGGCCCCAGGGCCTTTGCACTTGCTGTTCCCTCTGTCTGAGCTGCTCTCCCTCCAGATCTCCCGCAAAACACAGGTCTCTTCCTGTCCTTCAACTCTTGGCTCAAATCCCTCCATCTCAGAGAGGCTTGTGGAGGCATTCAATCTAAACCAGCAGCGCAGCACCACCACCACCACCACCCCCTCTACCACAGCAACCCTATTTTATTACTTTTCCAGTATTTATCACTATTTGATGGTATCTCCTTTATTGTCTCTCTGCCTTTTATCTGTCTCCTCCTTCTCCCCCGCCTAAGGTATGAACTCACAGTGGGGCCTATCGGTCCTGTGCATTGCTTTGTTCTTAATCCCTAAAAAATTGCCTGAAACAGTAAAACAAATGGAATCCTTCTACGTATTTAGAAGAGCTAATATAAACAATATTAGCAGGGTTGTACCACCATGACAGGTACTAAATAATAAAGGGGAAAGACTACACCTTAGACGCTAAAAGGTTTGTTTGATCAGTTAAAACAAAGAAAGATCATTATCGCTTGCGCTGGTCTTCAAAACATTCTCAAAAATGAACATAATGGAAATATAAAGCTCACCACTGGCTAATATTCAAATTTTCTCGTGGATCAGGCTCAATTTCTAGCATTAGCACTGCTCCCACAATTGATTCTGTTCTGAAAGCACTCTGAGACCTTAATTTTTTATTTAAAAGAGCCAAATATTTTCTAAAAGCATCCTCTCCTTTAAGGCTTATTAATAACCTCCTCCCAAACTGTACAATCTGTGACCCTATTGTAGCAACACTCCAATATGAGATATAGGTGCTAGTCTACAGATGGGAGGGATTTTAGTGCCCAGCGGCAAACAAGTTTTCGAAAACACAAACTATCCTCGTGCTCGACATAATAAAAAATATTTAAACCCTGAAGACTTTTTCTTCCAGATTAGTCTTAAAACTGTCTATCTGTCCTTTTACTCCCGGTGTTGAAGAGCTCAGGCATTAATCAAGGAATACGGCTTTAGCTACTGACCATTATCATTTCGCCACAAAGACACCAAAGGTCCTTATGGACCGCTTGGAAATTATATAAAATCAAAAGGTGCGCATCGGAGTAAAGGGGCATTTATTTCCCGGAATGTACTGCAAAGAAGTAAATTACTTCTTTGGGCCTTTGGAAATCATTGAAATCCACTTAAAAACCTCAAGAACTCATGTTTTACCATTTCACAGCAAAATATCAGAAGCAACCTACACATATCTCAATAAAGAAGAGGTTAAATCAATTATGGTTTCTCCTTAATGGAGTACTCAGCAGCTGTTAGGCAATGAGACAGCTCTCTTAGGTACTGACAGCGAGTCGGCCAAGATTTAGTACTCCGCGGGGAAGGCAGGGAGCTGGTGCAGAGCAGAAAGACAAATAAAAAGGACACATACCAACTGTTCAGACTAGCATAGGCTCCATCTGGAAAGAGATAAGGCGGGAGCTGGTGACCCTGCGACCTGGGGCGAACTGGGGGCAGTGGGGCACGGGGGAGAGGGGTACATACTTTTCATTCTATGCCTGCCTATACCGGCTGGATCTCCCACAGTGTGCACACAGCTTGCCTGTCCCACAGATTCATGGGGTAATTTTAAATATTAGGATCGTTTACATGATTGCCAGCTTCGTATGCAGGATGGCCTTCAAAAAGCAAAGGCAGTCCACGTCACCGAAGTTTGCGCTCTTCCCCCGCAAAGCCACCGATCCTCATGCCCAGAAGGGAGCCCAGGTCCCCACTGATTAGAGAGGCGCACGCTCCTGGTCTCACCTATTACAAAGCAAACACGCCTCCCTGCAATTCTTGGAAGAGAAAGGGCTGCCGGGTTCACCTAAAACACACGCCTCATATTTAAAGTGAGCATGTAACTACCCCACGAAGAAGCCTCCAGAACAACACCGTGTCCACCCGGCCATAAAACAGAAAGCCCAGGCGGGAACCAAGTGCAGGGACAGGCTCCTGTTTGGGAAACGCTGCGGCGAGGTCTGCCCGGCGCAGACAAGGACTCCTCTGACATTCGTGAAGTAGGGTTTCAGATCTGTGGCAAAACAGTCATGGAGGGGGAGGGGGGGCAGCATCATTTGCAGAAAATGAGGCTTTTAACAGCTGCCCTTTGTGGGGGAGGGGAGTTCGCTTTACATTTAGGTTGGAAATCATTTTGATAGCCCTGGTTGGTACTATGATGTCGCACTGATTTTACTTCAAGCAACTGTTTAAAGATAAATACCTGGAACTGAAAACGAACAAAGAGGAAGGCAAACTTTAACAAACTCTCCTGTTCAATGCAATCCTTTTAAAAGAACACATAAAAAGAAATGCAAAAAAACCCATCTGTCCCACAAACACCACTCATAACAGTAACACAGCAGATCAATATTTGAGCGTATTAAACACACCCGTACAAGAAGGAACACAAAGCTACCCGACTGCAAACAGAAGAGCTCATGCAGTTACGGTAGCAGAAGGTTCGAGGACCAGAAAGAGTTACATTATTCAAGCCCAGAGCACCTTCCCCGCACTGCTGTGGGGCAGAACTCATGGTGCCGGCTCTGCCCCGTGAGACAACACACCAGGAGCGGCATTTGTCACGCAGCCTAACTGTCATCGCCAACACTTTTACTTTGGATTTCATCAGTAGAGCGCCTTGGGATATAAGCATATGAAGATACAGGCAAATCCAAGGAAATTTCAATCTCCTTCCCATCCCCCAAGGTGCCTCTGGTCTCAGAACTTACTGCCCTTCGTGGGGCAGAAGTTCGCAGCCGCGGAGTCTGCGCCCTCCGAGACCGAGAGTGGCCAAGGGCGCGCGGACAGCGGCGGACTCGGAGCGCTCCCCCTCCCCCACCCGGTCACTCAGCTCCGATGCTCCCCAGACCCCGAGACCGGGGCCGACCCGGCGCTGCCCGCCACCCTACCACCCTGCCCGGGCCGCGGGGGCGACCCGGCGATGCGCCCACGGGACTGGCTCTGGGGCCCGGGCTCCCCCTGCCCGCGCCGCGCCCACCCGCCCCGGCACCCACCGGCCGCTCCCGCGCCGCTATCTCGCCATCGCCCGCCGTCCGCTCGGCTGCCCGGAGTCCGCAGTCGCCCGGGGCTGGCGACGAGGAGGAGGAGGAGGAGGAGGAGGGCCGGGCACTGCCAGCCGCCGCCTGGCCTCCGGGTCCCAGCGCGGGCTGCTGGACACGGCCACGGGCGAGGGGCGCCCGCTGCCCTCTGCGCGCCCGGAGCCGCCGCCGCCGCCAGAGCCACCGGCACGGCCACGGCCACGACGGAGAGGGTCCGGCCGGGATTGCGGCGCGCGGGGGCGGTGCCTGCACGCCGCTCGGCTGGGGGCGCTGCTGCCCGGCCCCGCCCCCGCCCCGCCCCGCCCCGCGCCCCCGCCGGAAGCTGCCCGCGGGCCCCCGCCGGACGCCCCCCCCCCCTCCCCTCCCGGCGGCCGCGCGCTCCGGGCTCGCCCGCTAGGCCGCCCGGCGACTCGGCGTTTGCGGCCCGCGGGACCCCGGCGCCGGCGGTGGCGGCCGCGCGGAGAGTCCGGCCCTCGGTCGCGAGGCCGATCTCGGTCCCCAGGCCGGGCTCGGAAGGTCCTGGGAGGGCCCGGAGATCGGAGCGGCCGAGCGGGTGCCGAGCCTCACGCCAGGCCGGCCGGGCGCGCGGAGGCCCTGCGGGGAGGAGAGGGGCTCCCCAAAAGGCGTGAAGGCGCTTTGCACACCGGGCCTGGCGGCGAGGGCCACGCGGGGCCCTGTGTCAGCTTCCTCTGTAAACACACGCGAACACCAGCTCCCGCGCCCTGGCGGGGGGCGGGGGAGGGGGCGATGGCATAGATGCCCGGAGTTACCTAAAATACCCCCAAGGCCGGGGCGCTGCGGCCGGCCACCTTCCTCCTCCCCGCGCAAGGCTCGCTCCGCCGACAGGACGGGACCCGGGGGGAAATTCTAAGAATATCCTGGAGCCATCTAGTCTTGCCTCCAAGGCGTGGTGGGCTTATTTGTGCGGGGAAGAAACGGCTCCCCTAATGGGGTGAGATTTTTCCTCCCTGCATTGTTCCCATTTCCGCAGTTTCACTTGGCCTCGATTTTCTTCCAGAGTAATGCACCAAATGAAATTAGCTGGAGCGCGTTTGATGGCGCAGAATCAGGTTGGAAGATGTTTACGCTCTCTGCCGGACGCGTTTGATGTTCTCTTGGGCACAATGAACTTGGCGAAGTTCAGAAGCGTGCCAGCTAGAACCCCTGGCCTGCAGCGTCCAGGGCTCTGCAGCCACACCTTCAGTAAGAGCCCAGCTTGTGTGTTTCACTTGTTGTTTATTTAAGGCCCCGGCACCCAGGCCAGCGTGTTTCATGGAGACCATTGGATGACATTACAAAGCGATTTCTAAATTGGCAAACTGAAGCATATTTTCTGAAATAACTTTTCCCTGTTGATAATGCGACTAAATGGGCAAAAGAATACACCTGCCAGTACATTACTTACTAAGTGGGCTCCGTGGAAGAAAACGTTCCACCCTAACCAGTGATGGCGAACCTTTAGAGCTCGGCAACCTTTTGAGCTTCGCGTGTGAGCATTTTGAAAAACCCTAACTTAACTCTGGTGCCGTGCCACATATAGAATTTTTTTGATATTTGCAACCATAGTAAAACAAAGATGTATTTTTGATATTTATTGTATATATTTAAATGCCATTTAACAAAGAAAAATCAACCAAAAAAATGAGTTTGCGTGTCACCTCTGACACGCGTGTCATAGGTTCGCCATCACGGCAACACGTGGTCCATGCCAGCGTCCCCATGAGCTCTATCCAGTTGCACATTTAGAACATCAAAACCAAACGCTTCTGTCATCTGTACCTGTCGTCTTTGTTTGTTGCCACAGTGAAAGGTGGGTGGGGAGGAGGCAATAAAGGGGAGGAAGGGGGTCAAATAAATGGTTACAGAAAGAGATTTGACTTGGGATGGTGAACACACAATGCAATGTACAGAGGATGCTAGTAGAAGTGTGCGCACTTGAAGCATATATAATTGTACTAACCAGTGTCACCCCAGTCAATTTAATAAAATTAAAAGAAAAAGTGAATGTTTCTGAGAAATAGAGTGAAGAAATAAAATGGAGTGACTGTAGTCGAGCTGCTAAATTACTAAAATCAAGTAGGCTGAGGCAGAGGAAATCACACCTGTAATGAAAGTTGTGGAAATGAAAGGCTTTGTTCTTTGAAAGAATGGGCCGCTCACAAAAGCAGCAAACATGCGATGATGGGGCTTTGTTATTAAATTACATCTTGGCCCTTGACAGGCTTCTCCGAAGGTGACAACATGTATCGTGGTGTTTAATCAATCAGAGGGACAAGATATGGCTTTGTTCCTGGAAGAAATTTTGGAACCAAATAGGAATCTACAAATGAAGCATAGTCATTAGCAGTGAATGGTTGAAATGAGTGAGACTATTCTTCATTTTACGCCTGGCTGATAAATGTAGATTTCAATTGGTTTATTTTAGAGCACAGTTTTGGACAAGATTCAAAACTTTAATTAGATCCCTGTAACAAGAAGACATATGAGAGCAATCAGCTAATTTTCTCTAGATGTTCTGTTCTTTACCCAAAGTGGTTTGGTTTGGAATGCTATTTGAGGGGCATGAGAAAATTGATAAACACCATGAACAATAGTATCTGCCCAGGATTCTGTTTGGAGTCCTCTTTTTCAGATAAAGGGATTTCAGGAGTGTTATGTAAAGCATTTTGGTAAATTATTATGTCCCTAGCATGGCCCCAACAGAATTGTACTTTGTCTTCTGTTTACTTATACTGTGCTTTTTCCCAAAGAGACTTAGGTGGTTTGCCATGAAAGACAAATATTTAAAAAAAAAAAAAAATCAAGAAAAACTCACTGAGACTAACAATAGCATTTGAGCACAAATCTTCGTTCCAAGCTTCCTCACAGCCAAGTGAAATGGGGGAAATGAAGGTTTTCCTAATTCTCATTGCCAGGTGGAAGGAATCACACAGTTTGCGTAGGAGAAAGTCTTTCCTGGCCTCTGTACTGAGAGGAATTTGTCATGAGGGTCTTTGGATGAGGGATATTCAGAACCAAGTTAAGAGAGACACTGCACAGTGACGGTTCTGGGGATCTTTTGGGGGCAAAGCTAATCTATTCTTTTCTGGTGAATAGCTTTGAAATTGCTATTGTTGAAAGTAAATAGCCAGACTCCTACAGAGTTTTGTTTTCTTTCTCCCCTTCCTTCCTCCTCCTCCTCCTCCTCCTCCTCCTCCTCCTCCTCTTCCTCCTCCTCCTCCTCCTCCTCCTCCTTCTTTTTTTTAATACTGGTCTTTGAAGGCAAGCCAAAGAGGTAATGGCAAATCTTGGTTTCCCTTTTCCTTCTCCATAAAAAAAGAGGCTATTAAAAGTAGCTATTTCATAGGGTGGTGAAGAGAACAAAGAGTTAATGTCTATAAAACCACCTACTGCTGTAAGTGTTAAATGTGTGCTAGTTTTCCTCGGCCAAGGTGTGTATGTAAAGTTTTTCCTCTCCTCTTATAATTTGTCTTTTATTGTAAACCACCTCCATCCCCTTTTGGAAAAATGTGTGGTGTATAAGCCTGATATGAAGTAGGCAGTAAATGTTAGCTGCGGCTTTTATCATTATTATGATTTTCTATTTCCACTCCTAAAATGATCAAAGCAGATGTGTGAGCTTGCCCTGGGGCTAGGTGAAGTTGTGAGGGGATTAGAAACTGTTATAGCCTTAGTGGGTAAAGCTTAGAGGAGTACACAGGCATCTATAAGAACCCATAAAACCATCTTGTTCTCTTTTATTGCTCTTATTGTTTGCCTAACATGTTCTGTCCTACATGGCTGCACTTCATTGTTTGACTTGGGAGCCCTGAGTAATGGCCCTTCCTTCAACAGACTAACAGTTAATTCCTTGGGTCCTTAAGACCCCTCATCTAAAGAATCTTCTTAACTTTCTTCTACTTTTGAGAGGTAAATGCCTCACACTATTAAAGCTAGCTCCCAGAGCCAGAAGCCGAGGGTTGGGGCAGGGAGAGCCGGGAATGTGGAGTGAGCCCCTGAAAGGACCGGACACCACTAGCAAGCCCTCTCTTTCCATAAGAACCCTGCCTGCACCTCTGCTCTGTCCCCTTCGCCATACTCCCCTCATCCATCATCGGATCCCTCATTTCAAATTCTGCTTTTGTTTTTCTTCCTGCCATGCCCTTCTTCTCTTTGCTGCGTCTCCACTCACTCCTCCCATTCTTTCTTAGGCGCCTCCATCTCTTCTTTTGGCTTCCCAAGCCCTCTCCTCTGTCCCCTCTTTGCCTTTTCTTCCCCTGTATTCTTCACCTGCTGTCTAGAGTCATTTAGAGGCAAAGCAAGACATTAGAATCGATGCTACCCTATTCCTCTTAGTCCATCATAGACCCAGAATCCTGGGCTAATATTCTCGTTGAGCTAATGGATCCCACAAAAGAGCAATTTACTCCATCCTCAGTGGCGACAGAAAGCCCATTATTTAATTTAGTCCTACAGCTACTGCACTCAGTTGTGTTGCCAGAGGCATCTTGAGCAGATGGAGGAAGAAGCCAAAAGATTAAGGAATTGAGCTGAGGTCAAGCCAGAGTTAGTGGCGTGGTTCGAAATTGGCCCAAATTCCTTAAATCCTTGAATATATTATTCTAACTGATGCACTTAACCCACAGCCTTCCATGGTCTGAACATCACCAAAGTGTGAAACCAGAAGAGAGTTTTCGTTTCCAGTTTCTGGCTGTGAAGAACTTTCAGTGGTGAAGCATTTGCCAACAACAGGCTTACTTCAAGGTCTCTAACCCATTGGTCAGCTGAAAAATAATGAGTCAGTTAAGTAATTTCAGAAACAGTGATGTCCCCAGGGCTTCCTTCGGGTCTCTAAGCTGGGACACCTCCAAATCTCCTATCGGAAAGTAGGGGTGGCCATCACTATGGCAGCTCTGGTCAGCAGGGACATGTCTGTTGATGGTTTCCCTGCTGGAACTTGAGGTCTCTAAGGACACCACTCTCAAAGGGAAATCTGCAGGTCTGTCTGAGAGTCATTCTGAGACAAGCCCAAGAAATCTTGGGTTTCTGGTGATTTGGTTTAATCACAGAACTTTATGCTCAAAAGAGCTGACAGAAACCTTAACACTACTGAACTCAAGGTATCATGCAATTCTAACTCAGGTGCTCACAGGATCTCCTTGTATCCACCTTGGTAGGCCTAACCTGGACTACACCAATTAATCCAAATTCGCCAGATTTTTTTTTTTTTTTTTTTTTTGTCTTGAGGAAAGAGAGGT